GAGAGATCTCCTCAGCAGTCAACAACACATATACGAAATTTTGTATATAAGTATTCAATTATAACAGCCCGTTCTTAAGTCCACAATAGCCTGGCTGCTGCACTCAGGGTATAACAGAACTCCTCGATAGTCATCGGCACAGGCACGAAATTTGGTATTTAAAGCATTTAATTATGATTCAGTGGATATAAATAGCACCCACACCATGATTTGTGAGCTAAAAAAATAGATAAATAATTTAATAGTAAAGAAACATTTTTAGAAACAAGCTCTTATTTTAATGCGCTAAAAAGAAGAAAAAAAAGGCTTGTTTTTAAAAATGTTTTTTTAATATTAATTTATGATACCTGCTTTACATAATTGATATTGACTTGACTTTATGCTTTCGTCTTCAAAAAATATTTATATGGTGCACACTACGCACTACGCAGTTTTATTTTGAGGTTTTATTTTGTTTTCATATACCTACGTGTTGCGTATAAATATTGCTTTTATCGGGTTTAATGGTTAATTGTTTTAATCAATAAACCGTTTTTTTTCAACCGACTTCAAAAAGGAGGACGTTCTCAATTCGACTGTTTTTTTTTATTGTTTGTTACCTCAGAACTCCGTCATTTATTAACCGATTTGGAGAATTTTTGTGTTGTTTGAAAGTGTATACTTCCAGATTGGTCCCATTTAAATTAAAAAAAATACCACCCCTAAGGGTGGAAAAATAGCTAATGATGAATTTAACCTACTTCTAATTGTCATATTGACTTGAAACTTTGCAAGTGTTTCTATTTCCGTTGATAGTACAGTGGTTCGGTATTGTTGACCTGATCTGATGGTAAGGCCATAAGGTGGATAGGTGGAACTCTTCAACGGCTAATAGTAGATACTTTGAGTTTGGGCTTGTTTTGTTTAATTTGACAAGCCTAATACGTTAGAATTCTTAATTTGCTACTACTGTCTACACTAAAAAGGGAAAAATAAAAACTTTTGAACAAAAAAATAAAAACCGACTTCAAATGCTTTATACCGATTTCGAAAATATTTGATTAGGTATGTATTTAATAGGTAGGCTTTAGTTACTTAGCCAAAGCACACCGACTTGGAAAATATTTGATTAGGTATGTGTAGTAAATGAAAACTATCAATCAGTTATTTTTTACTTTTTAGTGCTTTTGTTTTAGAATGGGTCCCACCATATTAAGATTTGTTGTTTCAGAAAAAATATTTTGCTCTTTCATAGAAACTAATATAAAAAAGCATCAAACTTATATAGTACAAATTCTAAAGTAAAACTCTAAATAGTAACTAATGAAGTGTGAGATGACCTCTTTTCAATATAAAGTCTTAGTACCTGGGCGACCGAGATTCAGATTATATATATATATATATATATATATATATATATATATATATATATGCTCAAACGATTTTCATGAAATTTAGTATGCAGGGGGTTTCGAGGGCGATAAATCGATCTAGATTAGTTTTATGTCTGGGAAAACGCGTGTTTTCGCGTTTTCATGCGGCATTGTTTCGCAAATTTTTAGTTTGTTCTTTTTTAAATGTTTTTTTTAGGCCAATATATACAAGAATTGCTCGTTTAAATATATATTAGATTTTATGTAGCAAAAATGAAAATGTAGCAAAAACAGTGTGACCTGTGATTTCTTTCAAAATTACTTGTTGCGTTACTTTTGGGAAAACTTATATATAATATAGGTGTCCCAAAAGTGTAATTGAACCTCATTTTCTCAAACAAAATAATTCTTAACAATAAAAATTGAGTATATTTTGTTTTAAGTACGCAAAAAAATGTTGTGCTATAATATAAAAGTAGCTTTTTCTTGGTCTTAGCCCGCATAGTTTACTTTTTGTTGTATTCGCGTGGCGTTTTTATATTCGATAGCCTTCATCAATAAATAGACCGTAAACTGCAAATAGAACTTGCCAAATATATAGTTCCTGAGATTAACAAACTATGTAGCTAAAAATATGACGAATAAGCAATAAAATATAAAAAATGTCATAAATTTTTCTTCATTTCAATAATACTCTTTTCCAAAGAAAAAAAATTAACGAGTTTTTTGCATAGTCCAATGACAACTCTTTGATTAATATTTTATACCCATTAACCTGAATTGAGGGGAGTGGGTGGGGGAGAAAGAGGGATGGGGAATCCTCCCTTCTCCCCTGCCATCTATTTTTGCCGGAGACGCGCTGTCTTTTGAATAATTTTTAGTATTGTGATAAAACGAACAAAAATCATATGAGAACTAATATAATAACATGCTATAATTTAATTCATGTACCTACTTACAATAAGTACTGCTATACGCACACTTTCTCATGTTCAAAGTAATGCACCTTAACGAGGAGAACAAAGTGAATCAGATCTGTTGGTGTGCTTGATGAAATAATGTTTAATTTTCGATTATACCTACTAAATATTTATTATATTATAAAGAAAACAATCTATTCGGTTTTTTCGCGGGAGAGTCTCTCCCGTGACCGTGGTTACTGTAAAGCATTCGAAACGTCGAGAATCAAAAATGAAAATATGTAAATCCCAAAAATCCACATTTATAATATTAGAAAGATATTAATTATTTAATTTTTTGTATTTAATACTTATATAATTTAATATTGTAACTTCAAGCCTTGAAAGAAAATTAAATCATTAAAATAATTTTGTGATAGATATATAAATATTAGATAATGACTATTAGATATTGTCAAATTCCCTACAGTACCGGCAAGTTGCACAAGAACTTCGACATATACATATATATTCACTATTTAGTCTGTTTAGTGTGTTTAGCTTGTAACTGCCTTATAGGTGGTGCAATGGCTTGTATGTACGGCTGCACATCCTGAAGTTATGGGTTCGAAACTCGGGCCATGCCAAGTTTAGTTATAGTCTTTCTGTTAAGAAAATCCTGGGACTTTGTCCTTTTACTGGTAACCCTATTTAAAAACTCCAATAGAATCCCATCAAAAGCGACAAAAGCCACATAGAAACCAATAAATATTTATTAGTTTCTATATGGCTTTTGTCACTTTTGATGGGATCCTATTGGAGTTTTTCAACAGGGTAACAGCCCGGAGTTGCGAAATTGGAGGTGTTTTACCCGTTTGCCTTGGAAAATACGTAAAGCCATCGGTCCTGCGCTTGATCTCTCACCGGTCATATAGATATAGAATGCTTGTCAATTTTACTTTTCAACCGACTTCAAAAAGGAGGAGGTTCTCAATTCGACTGTATTTTTTTTTTTTTTTTTTTTTTTATGTTTGTTACCTCAGAACTCCGTCATTTATTGACCGATTTGGACAATTTTTATGTTGTTTGAAAGTGTATACTTCCAGATTGGTCCCATTTAAATTTAAAAAAAAAATACCACCCCTAAGGGTGGAAAAATAGCTAATGATGAATTTAACCTACTTCTTATTGTCATATTGACTTGAAACTTTGCAAGTGTTTCTATTTCCATTGATAGTACAGTGGTTCGGTATTGTTGACCTGATCTGATGGTAAGGCCAGAAGGTGGATAGGTGGAACTCTTCAACGGCTAATAGTAGATACTTTGAGTTTGGGCTTATTTTGTTTGATTTGACAAGCCTAACACGTTAGAATTCTTACTTTGCTACTACTGTCTACACTAAAAAGGGAAAAATAAAAAACTTTTTAACAAAAAAATAAAAACCGACTTCAAACAAAAGCACTAAAAAGTAAAAAATAACTGATTGGTAGTTTTCATTTACTATACGTACCTAATCAAATATTTTCGAAGTCGGTGTGCTTTGGCTAAGTAATTAAAGCCTACCTATTAAATACATACCTAATCGAATATTTTCGAAATCGTTGCCAGCCCATACAAAGCAAAGCACACCGACTTCGAAAATATTTGATTAGGTACGTATAGTAAATGAAAACTACCAATCAGTTATTTTTTACTTTTTAGTGCTTTTGTTTGAAGTCGGTTTTTATTTTTTTGTTAAAAAGTTTTTATTGTTTTAATCTTTAATATATGTAAGTACTATTTTTCTTTATGCTTTTTATAAATCTCCTTTTAAAAACACTAATGGAATGTTTAATATATTGCTCCGTTTCGATCTTTGTCGTTTCTGATTGGACGTCGCAAGGAAACTATATATATGTAGGTACATAAAGGAATAATTGAAAAAAAGTCTTTAAAGTGTGTGGTGAATTATGATTTGTTTTATTCGAAATTGAAAAATGAGTCAAACAAAGAATATTTGGAAATCCACACACAGTTATTATAATTGCAAATTGGTATTCGTCATGAAAAGGAATTTATGCACTTTTTATAATGGCCCACCAAAAAAATGGTTTTCGTGAGATACTGGAGAGAAAGAAAACAATAGGTGAAACTTATTGCCTGTCATTTTTAATCTTTTAAAATAGTTATTGTAATTATTTCAATCTTTTATATTTGGAACATTTTTATGAAATTTAAAAACAATTAAGAAATGCGTTTTTAAATTGCTTAGCACGTGTTATGTCTATGATGATACTCTTTGTCTCGTTATAAGTATAACAGAGCAGCAGTAGACCTAGACGCAGACTCGAAAACTAAAACTCTGGCTCTGCGTTATGAATACACTCTCACAGTCCCTCATTCAGTAAGTCGCTAGCGACAGATGTAGTTGTCTCTTCGGTAATACATATTGTGATTAGAGTGTTTATAAATACGTATACATATTTTCCTTCACAATTGATTACATTTGTGATTTATATGTACATATTGCAACGCAATACAAATTACAATGAAGTGAAACCTTTTTGCGTGCTGTTTACTATATTACATTATCATTGTATGTTTTATAGTATGGCAATTATCACAGTGTAAATGTCAAAATTTAAATAAGGTAATTTTGATCCTTACTTCAATCGTTTCAGTACAGGAAAAAGCTCATTTTATAAAATTCAGATTCAAGTTTTTATTATTCGTAATTGTCGCAAAATTTAAATTCTTATTTAAAATATCATGGAGGACGATATTAATAAGCCTTACAAAATATGTGATGTGAATCGTGAAAAGAAAAAAGGCATTGTGGCGTCGTCATTAGAAGATTTGGTAGCTAAAGTGCCGGACAAATTGGGCTTACCTGCTGAAAATTTGACAGTAGTTCTCGAGTGTGATGGCACTGAAGTTGACGACGAGGAATATTTTTCAACGTTAGAACCTGATACTTCTCTAATGATATTGCATGGGAATGAGAAATGGACACCAAATATGCCAAAATGCCAAGTATCATTAGATCAGACTGATGATGTAACTTTGGGAGGCAAAGCTCAGGTGGCAAATCTTGTAGGACGTTTACAGCATAATTTGTGTCATATTTCATTACTTGGAGGTCAAGATTTAGAGCTATTGTCAGATATGGATCCTGACAGTCTAGCAGATATTGTAACTGATAGAGATAACAGAATAATCCTAGAACATATTAAGGAAGCCTCTGGAAGGTAAAATTTGTAATTATTGTTAATACAATGAAATTCATTTATTATATTAAAAATATTGTATTAAGAATTTTTTGAATATGTACCCATTGTAGTTCATTCACAATATATAATTTCAAATGTTTCAGAATATTATTAGAGAAGCGTCAAGCGCAAGATGCCATGGAGCTGTTGAAATTATATCATCAAAGTGTTGCCAACGGAACAGAAGATGTATCTCCACCAAGCCAAGAGAGAGTGTAAGAGTGATAAACAAAATCTACTGAATCCTAACTTAACCCTCACTCATTTGTTTTTAGGGATGGTATATCTCAAAAGTTTACAAAAATGCTAATTTTTTACATTATATTTGTTTACATTTATTTATATTTCAATATACTCTGCATCGATAAGTTTAAATTATAAGTATATTAACATTGATAGAAATATTTATGACAACACCAATTGAAAGAGGCCTTTTTTTAAGGAAATACTGGATTTGTAAATTTATTACTTTATCACTAATATGTAATGCAATTTTAAATATATAGGATTATGGACATGCTTATTCTGGTAGATTTACTTAAACTTATTAATGTTCTATTGAAATAGTCTCATTGAGTAAATATCTAAGAATGCTAGATATTTGTAGTAACATTCCATAATATAAAAGTCCTTAAATTAAGCAGGTATATGTTGAAAGTAGTTATTAGTAGAAAGTGTAAGAATCTAATCTTATGAATACGAGCTAAATTTTAATGAATGATGATGATTAAATTCTAAAATATTTATTTAGTATACCATTAGATAAAAAGCACATATTTTACTCTAAAATATCCTTACCTTTTATATTTCTTTATAAATAGAATTTTCTACCAAAAAATTAAAATACTGCTGCACTTAATAATCGGTACTAATTATCCATCAATCATATTTTGTATATAATTTGTATAATAATATTATCTAAAATAGCAATGATTTATATTTTTTCTGTTTGCGTTTGTTTTTTTATTATTATTGTAATTCTTTTAGTAAGCTACTTGTCTATGGTTCTCATAATTACTAACAGGATAACATTTATTTATTTATTTTTATTGGTTTATTTTAATTTATAGGTATATTTTTAATTATGAGTATGCTAAGGAATTTTAGTATAAAGTGAATTAATTCATATAAGAATTGATATAATTATTAAATAATGTATGGGACAATAGGTATGCTAGGAACTAAGCATTGCTACTTGATATTATAATTTTTATTTGATTCATTTGTTTGTAAACTTTTGAGAGACAAATTGCTACAAGGTTGATAATCAACATCAATTTAAAAGACTGATAGTTGGTAATCTTATTTTTTTTATATAGTTTTACCCCTAGAATAAGAATAATTCATTTAATTCCAAATTTGCTCAAACATTTACAAATATTACATAAGTTTACCTATGTTTAATTCCACTGCCGCGAACACAATTAACCAGTCTCCCAATGCTCATTGTAGATTAGAAAGGACTAGGAATTGCTATGTATGGAGTAATGTGATAAAATGTAATAAGTTGTTTTTAATTAAATATATAATAAAATTATTTGCACCTCTGCTTTAAATAAAATTCAAATCAGTATTTGAAATTCCAATTTATCATCATAAAAAAAACACACTATAAATGAATACTGCACTGCAAAATTCTAAAGTGTCATAATCAAAATTCTTTATAGAAATTTGTATGTCCATTTGTTCAGCACTTTAAATTAGTCATTGTAAATGTAGTGTAAACAATATTATTAATATAATATTATAATGAATATAGAGAAACATTCATTTAATTTGTTTTAGATAATTTTATTAATATATAATTGATTAAAGATATTAGTATATAATATGATATACTATTAATTTTAAAATTAATCATTAAAATTTATTAATCTCAAACACCAAATATTGCTGATATCTCGATATACATTAGTTAATAAATAATAATACATGATAGCATGTCCTATTTATAATATTGTAATCACTTTTCTACCAGATATTGAAGTATTATTTTGGTGCATATAGTTGTAGCTGAAATGCATAAAGGCTGTACAGTTTGTAGTCAAATAGTAATGATACTCCTAACTCTGTATGACAATTCCAAGCTTAAGCCTAAATATGGAATTGAAACTTTTATGGTTCCAATATTTGTGTTGTGTTACTGTGCACAAATAAAGCATTTAGCTAAATATAATTAGTTTTATTTCCTTCATTTTGTTTGACAAGGATTTCTTTGGTAATTGAATATTGTGTGAAGTTGCAACCTATTTCAAGTGATACATAGTTCATTCTTTTGAAAATATGAGGTAATATTACTAAACTGAAACTTAATTATACCTAACTGTACTTTAAAAATGACAAGTGATTTTAATTGGCTGTCCTCATATAAGTGGCTATAGAGTTGATTAAATAAAATTACACATAACTAAACTTCAGTTATTAAATAATAACTATTAAGAATAAATTAACCGAAAAAACAACATTGCTTTTTAAGTATTTTTAGTATATTTAAGAATTGAAAATCATCAATTGTATATTTATTAAATAGTATAAGCAATTTACCCTGACTTTCCTTGGGTTCACCCCTAGGTATATTTTACAGTTATATGATATAATTTATAGTCTATAGTAGATAAACAAGCTTTATAATATGTAAAAAGAATTTTTCAAATCAGATTAGTAGTTCCCAAGATTAGCCTCTTCAAACAAAAAACTGCCTCTATTAGTATAGATATTATTAATTATACTAATAATTATAAATAAAACAATTTATACAGAATTTCAGTTTAATATGAATAGTAGTTATGACTCACAGATATTAGAATGTTTATGAACATAATAAAGTTATATGTTAGCAAATAATTGTTATATGTTAAATTATTTTATATAATAAAATGTAAATTCAGATTCCACATATTACAAATAGTATACAATATATTCATTAATTACAACACAAAAATAAAGCCTTGTCAATTTATAGGACAGTGCAAGAACTTTTCTCCCTGAAAGGGTTCACTTTTTGACTTGAAAAGCCAACGAGTAGACAATCTTCTTGTTCATGTTCATTTATATATCGTACAATGTCTGCTACAGCGGCAGAAACTGGGATACGCTTTATAGCAGCTTCCCTTCTAAGCTGTTCGGTTACAGCTCGCTGTTGTTGTAAAGTCGATACCATCATATCCATTACGGCGGTATCTGATAGGCCTATGTTGGAAGCTAAAGGAACAACGCGATCCGTACAAAATGGGGCGTAGCCTCAAATGATGTATTTGAATCTGAAATTATTCAAGCAAATAGTACCTTTTTCTTATAGTTCAAACTATAATTGACATTAGTTTACTTACACAGAGTGAAGAATATGCAACAAAAAATATTATTTATTTTTAGAACTTTAGTAATTTCGAATCATTAGAGACGATAAGCATGGATGACAAATAAAAACGATAAGTACTTTTTCGATAATAATCAAATTTGACAGATATGACTTACGAAAGAAGAGCACAGATATAATAGAGATCGAAGCCACAAAACAAGAATAGGGAAGAATTTTGCCTTATTCCCAGGCCAGATGTCGCGATCATTATAGACCTCAAGATATTGTAAAGCTCTATTGCGTGAATGGATTTTTTTCGTCTGGAATGTTTAATAATCGTTATATGTAATTATTATAATAATAACCATAAATAAGTTTTTTACGCTACTTCATCAATTATTTAAAATAAAAGAATATATTTTTTAAATAAATGTATTTACTATTCATAGATAAAAACCTACGTTTTCCAAAAAAATTGTCAGTTAGGGGGTTTTAAGCGAGTTACCCTAACATCCCTGCCGCAGGGGCAAAAGTTGGGATAACCCTTAATTGCCGCCTAAATTGTGATGTGTATAGTCAAACAGGGGCAACTTTCTAGATTGCAATTGCGAGACCATTCTTGTTCCCTAGATTGCCCCTGCCGCCCTGCACGTTGCCGCTTGTGTAGCGTGATCGGCGCAATTTCTCTATCGATCTTTTGATAGTGTAGCCACGTAGAAGTTTTCACCTGAAATTAAGGGGCAACTAAATTTCACTTGCCCTTCGTACTGAAGGGAGGCCCGTGCCCAGCAGTGGGACGTTAAAAAGGGCAGAATACAAATTGCACGAGTTTTTTCTTTGATAGCATGACTTACATATTATAAATAAGGTTTTATAAAGTTTCTTTTAAAGACTTGAAATAATCATTATCTTTTATTATCATTTGCATCATTTATCCTTTTTTTTATTATATCCTAAGTTATCTATGAAACTTATTATTATTATTAAATGGTTATATATAATAATTATTATAATGATAACCATGAAAACGTTTTTTTACGCTACTTGTAATCATTTAAAATAAAAAATATTAAAAATGAAAAAACTAACTTCTTCCTGACTACTGAATAACAGGCAGCTCCGTGCTCTCTCGTGCTCCCCAGATTGCCTCTGCGGCAGGCGTGTCAGTAGCCCGCTTTAGGGGTTTTTGAAATTACTCTTAGGTTAGGGGGGATAAAATTTCAAGTATTGGCAGCACTGTCTTCTATATTTGCTCTTTTGCTCTGTGCTAAATACTAGTTTCCTTCATGGATGACAAATAAAAGTTTCCTTGTTGTTTGCTTGTTGTCTATGGTTAGTGGTTGTCAATTTGTATTTTGTCATATTAATTTTTTAATTTTGTCAATTTAGTGAATTTTTATTTTTAGCGATAATAGAATTTATAGGTTGGAATAAACTAAATAGAAATAGATGTTATGCATGTTTTTTGCCATATTTAACAGAATTTAAATTTTATTCCACTATGTTTTCCAGGTATATAATATTTCAAGAAAAGATAAAATGGAAGGCGACGGCGGATCAGAAAATTTAAAATCTTATTCTGGAATACCTGAAGCAGTATTTGTTGTGAGTTTTGATTTTATTATGTTTCATAGCTATTTTTTACTAAAAATAAATGAAGCCGATTATATTTATTTCGTATCTCACTTAAGTTCAATAATTTTATAATAGGTTACTTTAACACACCTGGTTAGCTAAAATTGAATAATTAAATTATTAGCATTTGAAAAGTTCACATTATTATGTTATTTTGTACACATATAAGGAAAATGGGCATTGAGGTATCTCATCATCATTAATGTTATTCATTAGATTGTCACAAATTATAATATTTGTTTTAAGGATAATGTTGACGAATTTATGAATCTGCCTGAAAACTCTGGAGGTGTAGAAAAGGTATTAAGGAAACTGGATGAGCAGCATGGAAAATATAAATTTATGGAGTATACTTTAAATACCAAAAGGAGACGTTTGCGACAGCAAATTCCTGATCTTGCAAGATCATTAGAAGTCATTGAAAAATTAAAGACTCAAAAAGAGGATATAGATACCCAATTTGTACTTAGTGACCAAGTGTTTTTAAAGGTATGTTTGTGCAATCCTACAGGCTCACCCTCACTTCACTCGGGTCCGTCCTTAGGTACATTTAAATAGTTAGTATGGAATATATAGTAAAAGTAGCCTGTATCACTGTCCAGCCTTGCTAATCTGTCACTCTGTTTTAACATAAAAGAAGGACAAACAAACTAATGGGTTTAGTGCTGCATATGCTCACCATTGCGTCGCCTGCGCGCACCGGTCCCGCAACGTCGTGTGTCATACACGGAGTGTTCCGGCACTGGCAAAGTATTCATTCCGAGAAATGTTACCGACGACGCGACGCGACGGTGCCGGTCGGTGATGGAACGGACTAGTGGGCACAGTCTCACACTTTTCAATACAAAGAATATTTTTTTGCCTGACATGGTCCTAGCACAGTCATGGTATGAGACAGTGTAGTGAGCAGACTCCTTTGATGAAAAAAGATAGTTTTGTAGAATCATGGCTAAAAAGAAAAAAAGGATTGTATAGAAAACCATAAAGAAGAACATAAATGGTTACTAATTTTTTTCAGATAACTTCAATGAATTATTTACTATATGGTTTAAATATTATATATTCTATTTTTTACAATTATTTAAGGTTTTTATTAGATGATTTTTTTCATTTAAAATTTAATTTCATGTCATTATTAGCTTAGATGAAATATGATATATAATATATATAATTTAAAAAATTATGATGAATATAATATTTAAGGTATTATTTTCGTTTGTTTTCAGGCAAATATTATGCCAACAAAGACTGTATATCTATGGCTTGGAGCAAATGTAATGCTAGAATATTCTCTAGAAGATGCTGAAAATCTCCTTACCACTAATATGGCAACAGCGAAGAAAAATCTGTCTTGTGTGGAACATGATTTAGACTTTTTAAGGTTATTAAACAGTAGTATTTTACTGCCTCGATGGTGTAGTGGCTGGCATGTACGGCTGCACACTCGGAGGTCCTGGGTTCGAGTCCCGGGTCGGGCCAAGTTTAGTTATTGATTCTTTCTGTATAGTAAGTCTCAGTAACTGCCAGGAGTTGGGAAGTTGGCGGTGTTTCACCCTCGTGCCTCGGAGAGCACGTAAAGCCGTCGGTCCTGCGCCTTAACTCTCACTGGTCGTATCGAGTAGTCGTCCCACCGGAGTATGAGAGTGACAGGAATAGAGAGTGCAATTGTGTCTACGCGTACACTTGTGTACTATAAGATCTCCTGCGCACTTGGCTAGTCTTAATGAGATTGGCCGCCGTAGCCGGAATCGGCTAGGAGAACATCATCATCATATAAGTTAAATCCACTCTATAAGTTCGTTTAAAAATTTGAATATCTATACTAATATTATACAAAGGTAAAGTTTGTGAGTTTGTGACGTTGTAGTGGGTAATCTCTGGATCTACTGAACCGATTTTGAAAGTTCTTTTACCAATAGAAAGCCACGTTATTTCTGAGTGTCATATGCTATATATTAACCCGAAAAAAAAGTCTTTTCTGACTTTTTCACGGTAGTTGGATTTGCAAAGTAAGTCTGAGAAAAAACGGTCAAACGAAAAACGTTTCTTACGAATGCTGCCATAACGATGAGAGATATATGATCTGTTCTAGAGAAAAGTTGTAGAGCTTAATAATGCCTACAAAAAAGTCAGTGACAGCATATGTCTAACTTTTATATTTAAGTCACAAAAAGTAGGTTTTTATATTAAAAAAATAATTTAAATTGGTAGGTCATGTTTATTGGTCATATTATCAACAATTATGAATTCTTATTAAAATAAGTAAATTTATAGTCTTAAAATGTTTAAAACAAAATACTACCTTTTGTACTGCATATAATTTGGACAAATGGTTAAAGAGATAATACGATATAAGTATGGAACCGCGACCGGGTCGTGATCTATTGAGTGATATTTCTATATGATGGCTTTTTTCATAATATGAAAAAATATGTTATTGTATTATACAATACGTCAATATATCTATACTCATATTATAAATAGGAAAAGTTTGTGAATTTGTGAGTTTGTGACGTTGTAAGGGGTAATCTCTGGATCTACTAAACCGATTTAGATGAAATTTGGTAAGAAGATAGTTTGAAACCTTGGGAAGAAAAATCATCCCTTAAGAGGGTGAAAATGGGGATGAAAGTTTGTATGGGGAAGCAAGCTACGGTCAAACCCGAGCGAAGCGAGCGTGAGTCGCTTGTATTATATAAAACAAAGTCGGTTTGTTACAACATTTATAATTCGAGAACGGCTGGACCGATTTTATGATGTTTATTTTGTTGGATTTGTCTTCACCCCGAATACCAAGATGACTATTAAAACATCGGAAAAATTCTCGAAAAAAATTAAAAGAATGTATTCCTAAGCTTCAAAATTCGTATCTCAGGACGAACCTGAGCGAAGTGAGGGAGAGTCGCTAGTTATTGATAAATAATACTGACTCATATTTTTTGTTAAAGGGATCAATGGACTACAACAGAAGTTAATATGGCTCGAGTGTATAACTGGGATGTGAAAAGACGTCAAGCTGCAAAGGCAGTTTAGTTATAATTATTCTTATATTATTTTTTAATTACAAAGGCTTAATTTATGTTTACAGTATGGAAATTATAACTCAGAATATACCCAATTTTTATTTAGTTTGCTTGATTTTCATAAGAATAATATTAAATTATTCATAGTTAAAATTTTAATAATTTTCCATTACACAAATTTTTGAAGGAATGTATCATAAATGTAGATAATTACTGATTTATTACCACTTTTGAAGAAATGCTGTATATTGTACTAGGAAGTACTAGATGGAGAGAGTAATGTCCAATATATATCATTACATCATACATACTAAAGTTTTTATAAATAAAAATGGATACTCCTTTATCATATTAATTTAACATAATGTATGATTTTGTTTATATTTTTTACTAAGTCAATAAACTAATATGTTTGTAATAGTTATGATAAACTTTTCATTAACATGTGATTTCAATTTAATACAAGTGATTTTTTAAGTTCATGAAACATTTTATTAGATACTCTCAGTAGTGGTCTGTAATGATCTAGTGTACATCTACATTATGTGGTCATCATGCTAAAGTATTCTTCTGCAGTTTTACCTGACAGATAAAAAGGAGCATGTTGAGTGTCAGTACCTGTACAATTTTCTTTAACTGTATACATGACTACAATTAATGAAAAATATTTATGCCTGTGTACAAACAGTATATTTGGCATTCATCTGTGCAAGCCTTTTTATGCAGTAATTGCGAGATAAGTTACACATCGTTTGTTGGCACTGGTAAAACTTAAAAAGATGGCCAACATTGGTATAAAAACGGTTGTTGCATATTTCCTTGCTAATTAAAGAAATAGTCCCAAGTGAAAGAGCACCGAACTTTTACTGTATTAGCAATTTCTTTTTTCCATCTGCCCACACAAAGATATTGGACAGTGCTAATTTGGGCTATTTTTGATTTTGCAAATAGTTAAACTGTTTTATTCGATAAATATGTGTAAAATAACGAAAAGTAAATATTTTAATATTCACCATACATTTGAATAAAAAAATTCAGTGCCCTTAACAATTTTTAACCGTGACAAACAATTCAGCAAAAGTAAAAGCGCCATCTGTAAATATACACTACACACCCATTATCTGATTGCTGATACTTCAATAATTAATAAAATTATCTAAATTTGATTTACGGGCGCATTATTTCTTTCCCTTCACTAAGAATATTTTATAAATAATAATATACCTTTTTGGAATCTTATCTTTTTTGTCTTTTTTTAATTCAACATAACTAATAACAAATCGATACATGTAACGTCATCTATTGACAGGTATTTGAACTAATTTTTCTTTGTTCGTGTTGAGATCCCATGATTGTACTAACTGCTGCTGCTTTACTATCTAACTTCGTCAACTTGTTCTCATCTTTTTAGTTAGCGTTTTACGCAGTCGGGATTTCTTAATTTTTGTAAATTAATATTTTAGTAAGTACTTACACGGGCTACAAGAGCGTACAAATAAGGGACGGTCAATCTTGTAACCACTGTAAATAGGCAGTTAATATTGCACTTAATTACCACTTCATCTTAAGTCCGGAGCAAAAAGAATTTAGTACAATGATCTCTTCGCCTACTAACAGTGGCCACAAATATTTTTGTAAAAAGTGCGCGCTTAAATGAAATATGTATATATAAAAGAGAAAAATTCTAATTCAAATTGTTACTACTTAATTATTGCAGATCACACACGTGAACTAAATATAATATACACGAAGGCTTAGTAGGTAGTGCGTCTGCTTTCTGAGCACAAGGGTCCAGGTTTGATTCCCGGTTGGGACAATTTGAGAAACAATTTGTTATTTTAATTAAATTTTAAATAAAATTAAAAAAAAAACCACGCTATAGAGCTTTACAATACAATAGGATCATAGTGGTCGTGACTTCTAACGGGAGAAATGGCAAAATCATCCTCATTGACTTATGACGGATGACATAATATCTGAATTGATGAAAATGAAATAGGTATCTCTCAAGTGAAAGTGACACTGACGTCTGACAAGTGACAGTGTGACACGTAGTCGGCTGTCGGTAGTACCCAAAAGAAAACTTAACTGTAAATAAAAAAATCTTTAACGCACAATATTAATAACATACATAAAAATATAATAGTACCAGTAAGTAGTTTTATTGTATTTCATACCAAATATTATTTTTATTACTAAACATTCGTTGAATTCATAATATTATTGTTTACCCTAACAGAAACTAGAAATGGCACCTTCAACAGATTGGGACGAAATAAAACGTTTAGCTGCAGATTTTCAAAAAGCCCAGCTTAGCTCTACATCTCAACGGTAAGTAAAAGGCTACTTGATTATATAAGAACGCAATTCATAATTAAAATAATCCCTCCACGACCCCGGACACGCCGGCGTTACAGTTAACAATAGATTTCTTAGAAATTTAATTAATTTCTTAGAAATTAACCTGGAGTTGATAAAATTGCCAGGTTTAATAGTAATTAAAATATTTAAATTTTCTAGGTTATCTGAGAGAAATTGTGTAGAAATTGTCACCAAGTTAATAGAGTTAAAGTTGTTGGATGTTATTTTTACCAATGATGGGAAAGAATATTTAACTCCACAGCAGCTTGTAAAAGAAATCAAAGATGAATTGTATGTACGAGGTGGACGAGTTAATACTGTTGACTTAGCCAAAGAGCTAAATGTGGATCTGAATCACATAAATAATAATATAACAGAGATATTAAAAGGAAAAGATGTACAATTGGTTTCAGGATATTTAATTGCTAACTATTATCTAGAAAAAATTGCAAGAGAGATAAATGAAAAATTACAACTGCAGGGTCAAATAACTGTAGGTGATTTAACTTTACAATATGACTTGCCAGCAGACCTTTTGCAACATGGGGTTATGGAAAAAAATCTTGGCAAAATTATTAATGGGAATCAAGATCCTCATGATCCTAGGATTTTTTATACTGCAGAGTATATAATGAGGACAAAAGCAAAGATTCGTGGAGCTTTAATGGGTCTGCTTCGACCAACACCTGTAAGTTTAATCATCAGCCATTGTAATATAGCTGAAAGATTATTTATGTTTCTTTTTGATCAGTTAAACACACCAGGAGTTCTAACAGGTCGTCAGGCAGGAGCTCAATATGTACCTTCAAGTTATACTAAGTCTCAAAATGATTGGGTTTTAAGTTTTTACAAACAAAACAACTACTTGGAATATGATGCTTTAGCTAGATTAGGTATTTCAGATCCTAAAGGGTATGTAAGAAGAGTTCTATCAAATGAAGACATGACATTTTTAAGCAGTTGTGTTATTGGATCTCAAATAAAACAACAGCTTGAGATTGCTCTTGAAGAATGTATTTCTTCAAAAAGTTACTTAGATGTTGTTGCATTACTACCATCAGTTTTATCAGAGCAAGATATAGATAATGTACTCGAACCGCTTTTGAAGAATAATTCAAGATCCACTATTCTATTTGATAAAACAGGTAATAAAATGAATTAATTAAAGAAATTAACATAGAACTTTTTTAACATACTAAGGCAAATCTTTTTTTTAATCTTATTTTATAATCTCTTCCAGTATTTAGTAATCATTTTGTTGAAAATTTGAAGCAAATGTGCATGCCAATGGTACAGAAAAATGTGGAGAGTATAGTCAAATCTGGCAAATATCAGCAATTTTACTTAGAGAAACAGCTTGTAAGATCTGAAATGCAACAGCAACATGTTGATCATAAAGCAGAAAGACGTGAGGAGCGTAGAAAAAAAGCCAGTTCTGGAAAAGTAGGAGGTGGAACTCAAGGTCGGGAAACTAAAACAAAAGCTGTAAAAAAACATACAAGATCAAAACAGGTAACTCACGACTCAGATTCCGATGATGCAAGTTCAAAAAAAGCTCAAAGTCATCTTGAAATTGTTAGTGTTGAAGATGTTGAAAATGCTATAAAAGAAACTTTAGAAAACGAAGGCCTTGATGATTTGTTGTCTCAAATAGCAGAATATCTCCAAGGGTAAGTATTTATAAAAACACTACCTTCATCCTTGCTTTGAATTCGTCCCTAGACAACAAACAAATTTATCCCAGGGGAACCATACATTTTTCCGGGATAAAAAGTAACCATTGTGCTATTCCAGACTAGTTTATCTCTGTGCCAAATTTTATCCAGATCTATTCAGCCGTTCTGGTGTTAAAGAGTAATAAACATCCATCTATCCGTCCTCACAAACTTTCACATTTATAATATTAGTATGGATAGGCATTAGGTATATTTTCATATCTCTAGAACATGGCACTATAATTTTTTATAATATATTTATCTCAATTTCTAACTATTCATTTGATCATTTCATCACATTTTTTTTCCTTTACAGACATCTTAATCAAATTGCTTTAAATACAGCAAAGGAACTAGCTGAAAAAATACTTCAAGATGCCAATCAAAGTAAGAAACAGACTCATTCATCTGCCCAGGACAGAATAAATGTTCTTGTAAATGATATGAAATTGTATGAGAAGGGCTTAAAAGTATTCCCGATTGATCAGCAGTCACAATTTATTAAATATTTACTAAAATCTTTTGGTGGTGATATACTGTCAGAATTCTGTAAATATGCAGCAAACCAGTGTAATCTCTCAGTACAAGCAGATGTGTTGACATTAGAACAAAGAAATAAGATTATAAAAGATTTATCTGAAGAATATGCTAAATCTTTACAAACTCTAAATGCAACATTGTCAGAACAAAATTTAGAACAATTCTACCAGTCTGTTGATGTTTGTTTATCAGAATGTGGCATGATACTGAAAAAAATTGATAAAAAGAAGGACAAGTATGTATCCACTCTTTTTTCATAATTTTAACACCTCGCAGTTAAATTCTAAGAAATTAATTGTTAACGGAGCCACCTGTGGCTCGGCAGTTGTTGACAGGTTAATAATATTATGTTGGCATTACAATACATATGTAAATGAAATAATCATTATTTGTTCATCATTTTGTCATTCCAACTTTCTATTTACATTAAATATGCATAAAGTTTATCTCTTAAAAGTGTTTATCTTAAAGGTAAATTTAATCAAGAAAAGGAACAATAATTATACTAAGATGAAAATGAAAAATATAACTCTCAAATAAATTGTAACTTGACTCAGCATTGCTAATAAATAAGTCATAATGTTTCTAAGTCTGTAATATATTATATACATATTATAGTAATATATTATTATGTTTGATGTGTATCTACATGTATATGTTATAATACTTACAGATTGCTAATACAAAACCATAGAGAAAAACTCATATATGAATTGGAAAATTGTGAGGAACCAGCATTAGTATTACATTTGGTTGCTTTGGCTTTGTTTACAATACTTAATCAGAGTATGTTACATGCATCAGGAAGACAAGTTCCACTCATTATATCTTTTTTAAAATCACAATTGAAAGAAGAAGATTTTCAAAAACTACAAAAGTATCATGGTAAGATTTTTTCCATTAAGTAAGAATAAAATGCCACCTTTATTTTAAAGCATGTCATAATATTTACCTTCAAAAACGTTTTTCAGGCTTTATATAAGTGCCTCTTTTACCAGGCAATAAAGTGTACATGTTATGTTTGTAAACAGATTCAAATTTTAGTTGTGCGAAAATTCTTAATATAATAAATATAATTTAAACATATAAAATATAACTGTTTGTGAATAATATTTTTATCTAACACTCAAAGTTTTCTGGACATACGCAGATCATAAAACCAAATTTGTTCAGTAGTCCTCGAGACTAACGCGCTCTTACATACTGATTGACGGTCGCAAGTGATCTTTTTTGTGCCTATCCATAGTAATATTATAAATGTGAAAGTTTGTGAGAATAGCTGGATGTTTATTACTCTTTCACGCCAGAATGGCTGAACGGATCTGGATGAAAGGCACAAATAAAGTTTATAGTCTGGAATATGGCACATAAGTTACTTTTTATCCCGGAAAAATGTACGGTTCCCGTGGGATAGGTTTGTTTTTATTTAGGGACGAACCCGAAGCGAAGCGAGTTTGAGTCGCCAGTTACTAGTACATAGTAAAGATAGTCTAGTCTAGTAAGACTATCGTTCGTAAGTTATTTCAACGTGACGTGCCTATAGGGATCTGCTGGGATTCATTAATCTATACATATAATAAAATTGTAACTAAGCCGAATCTGTACATTAAATATTTTTTGGAAAACCTTATCGAAATAAACATTATTATCGATACAGAGGCCGAATCTATAGTTTTTAGAATTTTTGTCTGCCTGTCTGTTACCGCATCACAGAAAAACCACTGGAGGGAATTTGATAAAATATGGTATGGTCATAGCTGGTTATCCGGGTCAACATATAGGATACTTTTTACCGCGGGAAAATGTCTCATTTCTGAGAAAAAATACAAAAACTGCATTGTAAGAGTATACTAATATATAAAACCTAATAATTTGGTTTTTAGTCATCTAAACGTGGGCGTAGTCGAGGGCAATGCTAGTATTACAATATATCAGTCATTCTCATGTTATGACTTATTATAGCCCCTAAATGTTACAGAACTGGTTACCAGTTACTTGATTGCTGCAGAGGATGAGAAATCTGAAATAGAAGATAAATTGAAAGAAGATATGTCAGTAATGAAAAATCTTGTTAGTGACGTGAAGAAGTACTAAAAAATACATCTGTAATTTTGTTTTCTTTTGTATACACATTTTATATAAAATGACTATTTTTAAAATATGTAGTTGAAAATACAAAAAAAGTGTCTCTCTGTGTGTTTTTTTTATTATGTTGAAGTTGTGGTTTATCAATTATAATTATCAGTCCAATTAAATAAACTCTAAAATTGAATTATGAAGGTTGAAATATTTTATTAACAATCATCACCTTTCAATTAACCCATACTTTTAAAATTCATCTACTCTTTTAAAATGGCATGCATCCATGATGTAAAATTTTAAATTACTGACGATCGCCAGCAAGTACCTAAGTGAAACAACTTCTTTTTTAAATACCTAATGAAAAAATGGTAATGGATGAAAAAAATATTTGTTATCTATACATATAATAAAATTCTAAACCGAAACTGCACATAAAATATTTTTTGGAAAATCTTATTGAAATAGTCATTATTATCGATACAGAGGCCGAATCTATAGTTTTTTAACATTTTGTCTGTTTGTCTGGTATGAATCTATGAAATTTGGTATGATAACTGGTTATCTGGGTCAACATAGGATATTTTTACTGCGGAAAAATATCTCATCTTTGAGAAAGCTATATTTACCGCTAAAACGTAAGTTATAAACATTTAAAAAAAATATCCTTTACTTTATGCCATTTACATTATATAATAATACTACTACCTATTTACCAACGACCTTTTTTAACGATTGGAAATACATTCACGCATATCTCTTGCATATATACATGTAGTTATGTGAGTTTCATGGGTCAGAAAAGCCAGTACTACCCACTAAAATCTAACGGAACCTCCCCACGTTTTAATAAGGCGTCGTCGCAGGATTGCTTCGCACTCAACCACGACACCCCGACGTGACCGCTGTTATCAGGTATGCCGAGGCAGAACAACATAACTGTCTAGAAGTCGTTTTTTTTAAGTTTTTATTTTTCCATTTTTAGTGTAAACGTAAGAAGCAGGTAATTTGTAAGAAGAAAGTTTTTTAATATTAACATATTCGATTATTTAAAGAATAATTTATTGTTGATTTTTTTTAAAACCGCTTGACCGATTTCGATAGACGTCTTCGAGTAATCGGTGAATATACATAAAAAAAGATATCGACGAATTGAGAACCTCCTCTTTTTTGGAAGTCGGTTAAAAAGGTAAGGAATTCCATAGGTGAACAGCTTTAACAGAGAAGGAGCTTGTATAAAAGGAAAAAGAAGGAGAAAGGTTTTTAAGGATTAAAATGGAGTGACAGCTTGTGTGATTACTTTAAACGTTATCATATAATTGAAATGTTAAATGAGCAATTCGTAAATATTATAAAATTTTGTGTATCTCACAAACGGCTATAACGATTTGGATCAAATTTTGTATTTAGATAAGGTTTTGCTTTTTAAGTCTTGTTGTTCCCGGTTCGTGCAGTCTATGACTATTTATATGTTTTTATGTACTATGTAAGGAGAGTTTTTTATTTGTCATCCATGGTTTGTGGTAATGAGGCAACAACTGTTGCCAGCCATCATTTTTATACTGTAATTCTGAGAAAAAAACTTTTTAACAAAAAAATAAAAACCGACTTCAAAAAAGCACTAAAAAGTAACTGATTAGTACTTTTAATTTACTATATTTCTCTACCTAATCAAATATTTTCGATGTCGGTGTGCTTTGCTTTGTATCGGCTGGCACCGACCATCATTATAACTACCTATACTCTTTGCCGACCATTCTTTAACAACTCATGCGTATTGCGTGCAAAAATCCTAACGTCACTATCGAAACTCAAACTGTCAAGTGTCACTTGAAAAGGACAGCTGTGTAATCAGTAATGGAAACTTCAAACTTCAAATCATGGATGACAAATAAAACTTCAAATTCAAACAAACTTCAAAGTTTATGAATTTCGAAACACGTAAAGTCGTGTGGTAATAGTGCTCGTTGCTCTTTAAATATAAAATGATGGTTTAAAGAAAAATTTTGAATTAAAATTATTTAAATGTTTTAAATTAAATAAGGAAAATTAAAACTAAAGAAAAACTTACCTTCGCGAATAACTTACGTATTCGTAGAACTCGTCGTAAATTGTATCCAATCAAATAATATTAAGTCGTCAAGAAGGCCATGTGCTTATATTATAATAAGATCAGAACTTTTTTACCTAAACTGCATATAATTAAAAATGGAACTATCACCAATGGAGAAAAAGGATTTACTATCAAAAAATAACGAAAACCTTCCCAAAACTGAAAGAAATGGCCTGATTCCAAATGGGGAAACCTCAAGGGATCCTCCTGATGGAGGATTTAGAGCCTACATGGTTGTTGTTGGTTCATTTCTAACAAATGGATTATTATTTGGTATTATTAATTCCTATAGTGTTATTTATACTGTTCTTAAGAAAAATCTCCAAGATGAGCATATACCAAATGCTGAAGGCAGAGCTGGTAAGGATAAATATATATTTTTTTGTATGTTAATAAATCATAAATTTATATAAAACCTATGTTATAAAAGTTTAGTACCTATTTAAATATAATTTGCAGTCCTATATTATACTACTAACTTGTAAATGTTTTCTACTCTTAAACATTTTTAATCAATGTGTATATTATATAAATGAAAATTTTAGTTTATACTTAAGTATTATAATAGTAGTATAATACTTAAGTATTAATTAATTCATATATATTTATATAAAAAAATAGTATTATTTCAAATTTATTTAAATGAATCAATTATTTAATTAAATCTTTTTACTATGTACCTTTATTAGTGCTGGTGTTCATTTATTACAACACCCCTATTAAAATAATATTTTACTTAATATTCATGTAATGAAGTTTGAGGATCAATCAGGTCTTAAGCGAGGCTACTCTGCTTATTGTAGCAACAGTGATGCATGGTTGCCTGTATTCACTATAACTTGTTAGATTTGTGGGCTGCAGTTTAGAATAGGGGACATTACCCCTGGCGGAGTGGGTGGTATTTCTGGATAGGGCACGTAATAGGAAGTCGAAATGTTAAATAAAAATTTTTCCGAAAACGTACAAGTAAAAAGTTATTGAGACTTAAAGTTACAACATTTCCATACATTATTTTGACATTACTACCATTTGACACTTGGAAATGTCAAAACGTCACTCAATTATCAAAATGATCTCCAGATAATTGTCTTTATTTGTACTTGCGTGAAATTCGAATTTTCTAGTTTTCTAGTCATTTATGGCACTCGCCGGCCGCTACCGCGGCACGCTCGCTTCGCTCGCTCGGCTCGTGCGTTGTGGCAACTGTTCTAACCTAACCTAACCAAGATATTACGAATAATAAATAAATAATCTTAAATGTTCTAACCTTTTTTTTTTTTTATGTCGGGAAATGCATTTACGCATACCACCTGATCCCCCAGGTGGTGATGTGGGGCTCACCGGCTAGAAGAGCCGGTACTACCCACTAAAACCCGACATTCCCCTCCCCTCCGCCTTAATGGGACGCCGCAGGATCGCTTGCGCATAACTACTACGGCGCCCCGGCGGCAGGTCTGCCAACGGCTGACCACCACACCGATGGGGCTGCTCCACAGTCAACTCTGCTACACCAGAGAGGTACCCGGAGCAGCCCCATTAAATCGAACCTCCGCCTACCGAAGTGGGCCACCTCCAATCGGCTGCAGAGGACAGGGAGAGCGGCAACGAAACACCGACACTCCTCTTCCCCTGCAGCCCCACCGCGTCCACCATCAACGGTGGTGGCCCCGCTAGGCCGCGGGAGATAGGGACGAGCGGCGCATCGCCATACCGACACTCCTCTTCCCCCGCGGCCCCCCTACCGTCGGCCCACCTCCGGACCAAAATGGCTGCCGACATTCCTCGCCAGACGCAGGACCACCGAAATGGCCCCGCTCCAGCCGCCGCACCGACGGGCTAGCCCCGGCAGTGTGGCCCGCGCAGCGCCTCCTACCGCGAGACGGCCGGAGACACCGCGCTACCTCCAAGAAGGAGACGGCGCCCTCTAACGCCGCTCCCTCAACCTCCCCTCCTGGCTGTTGGTCCGCGCCGGATTGCTCCGGTACCACAAGCTCCTGTCGGGTCCAAACAGGTGCGAGTGGTGTTCCCCTATCCGCCACCCGGGGACGCGTCCGGTAGCAGTCAGCCTCTGCCCCAGAAAATGTTCTAACCTAACCTAACCCAGATATGACGAATAATAAATATATAATCTTAAATGTTCTAACCTAACCTAACCCAGATATGACGAATAATAAATAAATAATTAAAAATATTCACAGATAAAAAAATGATTTTTTTTACTTAATGTACAATTGTAAAACAATATATTTTACATAAATCAAATAAAAAGTCCTAAATGTATTTATAAAGTGAAAATAATCATTTTCTTTTTATTTATTTATTTATTAATAGTAATATTTTACCAACAAAAAAAAAACAAAAATAATCAAATATAATCTGTTGTCATTTAAGCGGTAATATAAAACAAAGTGTCAGTTTTGCTTTTGTCCAAATGTAAGATCATTTTGTTTGTGTTGTGAAATTATTAAAATATTAAATACAATAAAGCATTAATTGTTGTGAAAATATGTATTGTACATAAAAAAGGATGCGTACTATTCGTTAAAGGTATGTTTATCTGTTGTAATCACTTATTTAGGTAAAGAAATGTATGGAAATGTGTTAGATATGTTATAACTTTAAGTCTCAATAACTTTTTACTCGTACGTTTCCTCCAAATATTTTTAATATATTTTGACTCTCTGTCACCTCCCCTATCTAAAAATACCACCCACTCCGAATGGTGGAAAGAAATATATGAAAATGTATGGAAATGTTGTAACTTTAAGTCTCAATAACTTTTTACTCGTACGTTTTCGGAAAATTTTTTATTTAACATTTCGACGCCCTATCACATCCCCTATCCAGAAATACCACCCACTCCACCAGGGGCAATGTCCCCTATTCTAAACTTGTGCCGATTTGTGATATATGTACATATATAATATTTGTGTTTCTAAGTACAATAATTCTATTTTGATTTATTTTATTTATTTAAATTTGTTACTTTTATAAATGGGCAGTGACAAAATTTTGAGAAATATTTCATATTATTATGTTCCTTTAAAAAGACTTCATCATTAAAAAAGTCTAAAAGTTATACTTTCATTTATTCTGATATTGCTATTTAACTATTAACTAAATAATCATTGCATACCTATGACCCAGACCCACCTTTACAACTGGCTCAAGGCCTATGTCCAATGTGTAAGTGTAATCACTTGATATATCATGATAAAATCATTCATAAACTTATTTTCATAAAAAAAAAAAACACTTTGATCCATTGTTCTTTTACCGCGCGGAATAAGGCTCCCCAAAAAAAATTGCATTATAGTAGAATTAAAGAGGAAAGATAATTATTATAAATGACGAAATGAATAATGAAAATGGATATCAATACATCTTCAGTTATGATTAAATATGAGATTTTAATAAATAAGGAATTTGTATCAACTGGCGCCAGTCAAGTTGAGCACGTGGCTTTTTGTTGCCGGCAATCGTGTAATAACGCTCATCTTGCTAACAGGCCACTTGATTGTATCAATTTCATTACCCAGACGCAAATTCATTGACACAGGCTTTTGTTATATCTCAGTGCATATTTCAGGTATAACTAGTTACCAAACAATTGTGCGTGTTTTTTTTTATTTTTACCAACGAGACAACCTGATGTGCTACATCTACAAACTACCAATCTGATTGACAAATCAATTGATTTTTCTAAAATAATTTGTCAGTGTTTTTGAATCACCTGAATAAGATTAATCTTGTTAAGGAGATCAGAAAACATTTTTAATATATACATAATATTAATATGTAATAGTTCATTAGGTATCATCATCGACATCATATTATTTAGGGTACCTACATCATCTTGAGTAATCTAATTTATGTAGGTGCCTAAGGACTTATAATTTAAAATCATAATTTAAAATATTTTTTACTGCCACAGTTTGGACGATGAAGGAAAGGTTTAGTTTTAAATATTTTTTAACGGTTCGTTCGTAAAAAATATAACGTCTTTTTTAAGTAAAAAATGTCGTTAATGTTAAAAAAAAACTTGGCTTAAAGGTGAATTTTTTTCTCCTTTTGTATCAGACAAAAATAAAAAATATATAAGTAATTTAAAACATACACCACGTTTCCTTCCTGTTGCTGAAATGTGTAAAAAATATAAATTCTTAGCAATATATGAAAATATTACAATCAGTATCGATAAACTACGATTTAATGATACAAAGAAGAATTTATCTCGTGGGTGAAGTAGTGACCTGATTAGATTACAGGACATTGTGTTCCACTTGCCAACTTTAACTCTTTAATATTGAACTTTTTGAATTGTGCTGCTTAGATTGGTAGATATCAGAAATAGTTAAACTTAAACATGTCATAAACTATTTATTAATTAAAAAATGAAGCTAATCTGTATTAATTGAACTTTATTGTTAAGTTCATATACCCAAAATGTAAGATCATAGACTTGACAGCAATTGACTACTGCGTAAATTACATAGTACATTCTTCAACTTCGCACATAGGCTGATTAGGTACGGTTTTCTCGGTAACTTCTAAAAAGGAAACACTTATCCTCTTTACAAGCTCTTCTACTGAATTTTGTGTAATTCAATTATTAAGAAATAAATGAGTAAAAATGTTAACTATTTGTTACTAGATGTAACTTATGTTAATATTAAATTGTACCAGGGACTTAGCTACCGCCGTATCAGCCGTGTCAATGATACGGGTTTATGTTATCCACAATTTCACTTAAACTGGTAGGCCGTATTTCCTGAGAAAAAATCATACCTAAATCATACAATATCATATATGGATTCTTTTTGGGGCTTATATCAGTATCCGACTATAGTGCAGAAGGACTTAAGACTGAAATTTTAAATACTATAAAAGAATATGGAATTGATTTGTCCAAATGTAGAGAGCAGGGTTACTATGGAGCAACTGTCACGTCGGGTGTTTATGGAGGATTACAAGCCCTTATAAAAGATCATGCCCCAAATGCCGATTAGGTTCATTGTGCGGCACACGCATTAAATTTAATTTTAAATCAATCTGCGAAACGTGTCTCAATCTTTTCGACGATTTGTAAAAAATATATACTTTTTTTAGCAATGGTATATAACACTGGTAAATGTTGAATAACACAATTATTGTCCTGATAAAGATCATCTGTTTGTTATTTGTAATGACCTAAATATTGTTATCGTTCTTATACAAATTATGCACGCAGTTGCGTGCGCATGTAATTTGTTTTATAATTTTTGCGCACGTTTGAAATTGTCGTAAGCACTCTTATTTCCATTTCACGGAAGTATCTATTTACCCAGCACTTAGGAAAAGTACCTATCAAATATAATTCTGTTTTGATTAATTAAGTATTATATTCGATGGCTTTGCTGGCACTGACCTGAAAAAAATTGTAGGCCTCTTATTTGTTTTGTACCTACCTACTTATGATTTCGTGTTTTTGTTGGTTAATTTCTTGTAATACTATATAAAAATTAATTCATCATTTTGAGCTAGTTTATTTTTGAAGTCGATTTAACTTTTTTAAATTTGTACTTGTTTTTCATTATTTTTAGTTTTAAGTAAAAACTGCAATACTTGTGTATGTAGTAAGTAGTTATTTGAATTTTTCACGCGTTTGAACTGTAAGGCTAGTTTGGTTTCGGCCATTTTGATTTTTCTCACATGCACTAGTATTTTACCAACGTTTTGAGATGTTTTCCCTTTACACCCGTACCTCGTGTCAATAAGGCAGTACGTCACACTTACACGTAATAGTCCATATCTTGAAAACTATGTATACTGAACTTTAATGAACTTGCACTATTCCCCAAGTTGAGTTAAATGTAAGGCAATAAAAAAAATAATAGTCACAGTCCTAATTAAATGGAAGATGCGTGTAATTTAAATAAAGCTGCTTTTTTTCATCTTTATTGCTTTTGAATTAAGCCTTAAATATCAAAACAGTTATTAGCGATTTTATCGTTGTTTCGATAGCGATATGTCGCAACTCGCAACGCAAAAGTCGTCATTATTCTGTGTATGATATGCTTTGACGTCACACCAAGGGCGCGAAATGGCGGGCGTTTAAAGTATGCGTATCGTATAATATTTAAAAAAAATTTGGAGTGGGTTTTTTTTATAATTATATAATGATGCTATTGTATAAAAAGTTAAAAACAATCTTGCATATTCCATATTATTTCGGAGAAATGCGTGGACAAACAAACCTAAAAACAACAACTACCTACCAATAAAATTTTGTATGTTGTATTTTGTTAATTGCCTTATTTTATAATATTTAAGAATGATAAAACTTAATTTTGCTATATTGTAATAAAAAACCTTTATGTATAGACTAACTTTTTTTAAGCTTACACAATGTGGCGTAAAACTACTAAGATGACGTAACTTGTAGCCAACTTCATGTGTAAATTACAAATTTATTAATGCATGCAAAAATGCATTTACTTTGCATAACTTTTTTGTTTCATTATAATAAATATTTGCCACGAGTGACTACTCGTAGTAACTGGCAAGTATTCTATTCGCTACTGAAAAATCGGTTTTTCTGATTCAGACAACTGACAGACAAATACAGACATATTTTTAATAGTTGTTTGTGATTTGGTAATTTGGAAATACGAGTACGCTATAGCGTACTCGTATAAATACATTATAATGCATGCATAAATAAATGCATTATAATGCATTCATACATCACAGTTAGTTAAATAAAACATTTAAAAAGGGTAAATATTATATTCTTAGTTTTTAATAGATTAATTAAAATTGATTTAAGATTGATAACTTTTTAAAATCACATCCAACACAAACACATATCAACAAATACTTACGTGTTCTTTAGTAAAGGCGTAAAATGAATTATTAACGGCCTTGGCTAATGTAATGAATAATTGAGGACTTGAACGTGACATGTTCAGACAGGTCGAATATGTTTCAATAATCAGAAAAAATGAAAGGTAGCGATAACTTTTATAGAACCTGTTTAGTATTTATATTACTTCAATTTATTTGAAATTAATATTACATATTAATGGATTTATATTGTCCATAATACATTCTTAGAGTTACGCGAATACTTGACATCCATACTTAATATTATAAATGTGAAAGTGTGTTTGTTTGTCCTTCTTTCACATCGACACGGAGTGACGGATTGGCGTGATTTTTTGTATGGAGATAGTTGGAGGGCTGGAGAGTGACATAGGTTAGTTTTTATCGTGGGAGATTATCTTACGGGAAAACACGTTATAATACAATCTAAAAAATATTTATGTTCAAAATTACTTGAAACTTAGTATTGATGCTCTTCAATAAAATTAAATAAATAGGTACGTGTCTTAGCATTTTTCGAAATTCATCCTATAAGGAGGTAAAATAGGAGATGAAAGTTTGTATGAAACTACCTTTTTAGATGTTTTTTGTAGTTTTAGCGCGAGCGTAGCCGCGAGTTCTGCGAGTTTTAAATAAAACTATATTGTCGGATATTTAGATTTTTCATTCCCGATGTCGCTCACGTGACCATAGAGAGAGAGAGAGAGAGTCAGTAATCATAACACGTTTGATAGCACATATGTGATGCCTGTTCTACAGTTCCCTTGACTGACTGCAATATGTGTGTCTACACAACTACTATAACCACTTGTCAAAATCAGCTGTAGTAAATTCAGGGCATTTTTTGCCCTGGCTCTTATTAGAGACACTGTATACACTTAGTGTACCGTGTATACTGTCTTAGTCTAAACTGGCCTTTTTTTAACGTTGGGAAATGCATTTACGCACGAGGTGTGGGACTCACCGGCAAAGCCAGTACTACCCACTAAAACCCAACAAAGCCTTCCCCCGTCTTAATGGGGCGTCGCAGGATCGCTTACGCATTCAACTACGACGCCCCGACGGCAGGTCTGCCGAAGCAGACCACAACAACCACGGGGTTGCTCCAAGGTCCACTCTGCTATCAGAGAAGTACCAGGAGCAACCCGCATGGTTCACCGCCCTCCGAAGAGGGCCGCCTCCCACCGCCCACCGAAGTGGGCCACCTCCCTGTGCATTTCTTGGCTTCGCGCCCGGCTGTATTGCTGGGCGCTAGTGAGCTCCCCCACCACGACAAGGTGAACGCACGTTGGGGGGGGGGGGGAGCCAAACTGGCCTAAGTCTAACTCGTACTCTACCATAACTCTACCATGACTGCTGTAAAGCATTCGAAACGTCGGGAACTGCCTAACCTAAAGAGATTTTTTACCGACTCAGTCTATATTATTCTTTAGTCTGAGATTTGAGCAGGCGCGGATCCAGAGTTAAATTTTGGGGGGGATCATAGGCTGAAATATACATATAATAAAACAGTAACTTAGCAAAATCTGACCAGGCGCGGATCTAATTTTCTATTCTGGGGGGGTTGTAAGGCTTTAACACTTTAGCTGGTACATAAGGAACAAAAAACGTTGAAAAATCGTTTTTTTTGAATTTCTGGCTTGTTGTGACATCTTATCGAAAAATATTCTTTATATAAATTTCATCAAAATCTGTCCAGTGGTTTTCTCGTGATGCGGTAACAGACAGACAGTCAGACAAAAATTCTAAAAACTATAGATTCGGACTCTGTATCTATAATAAATCTATTTCAATTAGATTTTCCAAAAAATGTTTAATGTACAGATTCGACTTAGTTACAATTTCATTATAATTCGTTGGCTCATTATTACAAGGTTCTATGTTACAAGGTTTTATGTGTCATTAGCTACAGTTTTGCAGAAACAAATCACTAGATAGCGGCACTATAACTACAAAATATTCAATTTTACATAGTTCTATGTTGTTTTTTTACGGTAACAAAATAACGAAGTTCTATGTAAAAATTACTAAACTTCATTAAAATTAACATAGAACCTTGTAATAGTGAGCCAACGAATTTATGTATATAGATTTCTGCAAAAACTTTTTGATATTCATGAAAATAGGGGAGTATAATCTTCAAAATACATATAATAACCATTTTTTTAAATCAAAATGTTTATCCGTTTATTCCTTCCTTTCTTAGACTTCAAACTTCTCTAAAAAGTATATTTATTTATTTGGCTATCATGACCCCCATGACCCCCCCTGGATCCGCACTTGGATTTGAGGATACATTTGGCCAAGATTGGTAACCTAGGGTTTTTATCAATTAATTGAGAATAGATTGTTTATTTTGAAGGAAAAAGCATAGCGCAAATACATGCGTAGGTACCTAGTTCAGGATGACTTTTGAGCTATGTACACGTTTGCGAAGATAATAGTATTGCGTTGTTAAAATATTACAAGAACATAAATTATATTAATTTCAAACGTCATTATTATTGTACATATTTATAACTACATTTTATTTATAACTAGTGACTCACCCTCGCTTCGCTCTGGTTCTTTCGCCTAGGTACTTTCTTACTTTTAGCATGGAATAAATATACTTAAACCACCTCTGACACATCCCCAACGAAACAAAAAAAGAATATTTAAATCGGTTTTAGAGTTTTAGTTTTATATACTTAGACTAAATGGTTATATCTTTTAGTCTTATAACATTGTATAAATATATTTTTTTAATATATGTATTAAAACATCGCACCTTTGTGGAATTATTGTTAGACATAATATTACATGATAATTTAAAAGTTAGAAGTATGTAAAAAGTACCAGACGAACGCTGGAGGACGCTGCCAGTAAATAGTATTAGAAAATGTTCAACTATGATCTTGTTACGTATCACTATTTACGAATGAAGAAATAACATACATAATTAGTGCATTAATAATAGGTATTTTTATTCTTTTTCCAGGTCTCGTGGGCGCGCTAAGTTTGGGAACAACGTTTCTTCTATCACCTGTATCCGGTGTTTTGACGGGAATACTTGGATTACGTTGTACTGCTGTTTTAGGAGGTGTTATCGCAGTCCTTGGATTATTTATTTCATCATTCCTCGTCAGTAATGTAGATGCGCTTTGTTTTACATACGGTGTTATGTATGGCTTAGGCGCTTCGCTCGCCTACACACCTTCTTTGGCTATTCTTGGGCATTATTTCAAGCGGAATTTAGGCTTAGTAAATGGGATAGTTACCGTAGGTAGCTCAGTTTTTACTGTTATTATGGCACCTTTGATGGAATACACACTGAATCAATATGGATTAGAAGGTTTATTTAGAATGCTCGCTGCCATTACAGTGGGTATATCTCTTTGTGGTCTATTATTTAAACCTATTCCTGTAGTGGTAATAGACAAACCGACGAGAGAAAGTGGGTTTAGAGTTTTGATGAAATCTATTATCAATGTACAAATTTGGAAAAATAAAAAATACAGACTGTGGGCGTTGTCTATGCCAGTTGCACTATTCGGTTATTTTGTTCCATATGTGCACAACCAAGATTTTATAAAGGCAAACTTTAATAATGTTGCACATATTTTGCCTTTGCAATGTATTGCTGGGGGTTCTGGGGCGGGCAGATTGATTTTCGGCATATTAGCAGATAAAAAATGGGCTAACAGAATAGTATTGCAACAGATAGCCTTCTATGTTATCGGAACTCTTACAATTTTGTTGCCTTTCGTAACATCTTTTCCCTTATTGGTAGTTATGTCGTTAGCAATGGGTATCTGTGATGGGGCTTTCATTGCATTAATAGGTCCTATTGCGATACAGTTTTGTGGTAGTGCGTATGCTGCACAAAGTATAGGCTGTATGTTAGGTTTAGCTGCTTTCCCCTTGTCTTTAGGACCCGCTATAGCGGGACTAATCTATGCTGCATATAATTCATACACGTTGCCTTTTATATTAGCAGGCATATCACCTATTGTAGGCGCTACTTTGATGTTCGGCATAAGATTTCAGAAATAGCAAGTAATGGGGATTTTAAAAAAATGGTAAGTTAACTCATCCTATTAGTTTGATTTTGTTATAGTATTACATAAATTAATTACTACGTGAGAGATTGTGGGTTCAATTCTCGCACATGCGAACTTTTCGCTCATAAATATGTAGTCGGTGGTCGCGCTCACGATAACACGCACACTGAAAGTTCCATACTATTGAACATTAAAAAAAAATCAAAAAATAAGTTTTGTCATTTAACTATAAATGTATAGGTTTCGGATTCTCGGTTTTCGAATTTTCGTATTTTTCCCTTTACTTATGCTGTAAGACATTGCTTCATGCCAAATTTTATGATTATATGTTACGGGATGTACTGGCTCTTCTAGCCGGTGAGTCCCACATCTCACCTCTATGTCTCTGGTATGCGTAAATGCATTTCCCAACATAAACAAAGGAGTGATAGCTTTCGTATACCTACCATGAATTGATTGGTTTTCTCTTTTATTTTCAGATAGAGGTGCATACTTTAAACTAGAACACCATACCCAATATGTACGTAATTTGTACTTTGTTTATATGAATCTCCTAACCTCAAATCCACTGAACTGTACAAATAGATACAATTTCCTTTTTAAAATGATTTCATATTTATATAAATAAATAGTGCCTTTAAATTAAATCTTAACAACTAAAATATGTATTTTTTATGTGAAGACATTATTAATAAAGATTGCAATAATACCAAAGAGGTACATACGTTTGTTATTACGATAATTATTTGTAATGTTTATAGCACATAACACTTGACGTCATATAGTATGTTATTGTTTAAAATATTTATATGAAACGTGTATAAAATAACGTCAATATTCATTTTACTCAACGGTGCGATAACATATTACACACATTTGCATACGATTCGACCGAAGAGCTGCTATAGATTGTTATTTTTAAATTGATTGAAATCTGAAATTTCATCGCTACACTAACTCTAAGGTATATCTACAATAACGATAAAATATGAATATCTCATAATAAAATGTGAAATACGAATATATAGACATAAAACAACATGATATGGTCTGTTCTACTGGATATCGAAAGAGATGGACAAATTTCATTTTATTTCTACCGTTTATGTTGATTAGAATGGATATAGCTTTGTTTCTGCTCTTAAATGATTTTAATTATAGTTGTAATAAATATATTGTAATAGGTATAGATATGTTTGTATGATACATTTTTGGTTGAATTAAAAAATATTTCAAACAAGGTACAAAGTAAAACATATTTATACGTTATTTCGGAAGGTATTCTAGAGACTAGAAGTGAAGTTTTTTTATGAGTACCTATAGAAAAGTTATATTTTGTAAGGTTTGAAACGTACAGTGAAATAATAAGAATCAATACATTAATGATGATTATTAATTAAATTGAAAATAAAAAGTATGTAACTTATATTTGTTTTCATTGTTAGGAAGGATAATGAAATTAATTATATCAATTAAAAACCGATGGTGCTCTAAAAATGCATTTTAAATATACGTAAGAATATATTTTTGTATTTGTCAATAATATTTTTAGGGGTATTTAATTAAAATTTATTTCTTTTAAATGTAATCAAATTAAAACTATTTATCAAAACACAAACTGTTACTTATTGAGTTATATTATTAATATTATGATATTAACACGAAGACAACGAACATAATCTTGACAGCCGAATCCAACATTTAATAAGTTGTGTATGGCTGGCTTTTTAGATCTTTTCGAGCATTTTAGATGCCTGTAACATTAGGCCAGATTCTGTTCAATAATCTGTTATTAAAAAAATTAGTGCGTGTAACCTTGACGCGTGCTTGATTAAAACTTCTTTGGCGCTGTGGCAGACATCGCAATTAAATTAAAACAAATCAAAATTTAAATATTTTTTATAAAATTATTCATAATAAATTTGACTCTCACTACCGCGAAACTCATTTTTCCAATGTATTGAATTACTCTCCAGTCACGTCTAAAGAAGTTTTACTTCAAAAATGAATATATAAATATAATAAAAAATGAATCCTGTTATAAAAAAATAACCATTTTGAATAGAGTGTACCAGATACTTACTCCATGGAGTGCACTCTATTTAGAACCAAAATGGTTATTTTTATAGCACCATTTAAGAACTTCAACCATAGTGTAATAAATGAAGTTTTTTTTAAAAATTCGAGGCAGAAAAATGGATACTACTTTCTTAGACTTACGCGAATATTTGACATTTTAAATAAAACTATCTTTTCAGATTATTTCGCGGATTTACTTTGATTTTTGGTTCCCGACGTTTATTTTTCAAAAATAGTGGGTAGGCACTGTCTGTAACAAGTATATTATAACGCCTTTGAGACGTCTACAACCTTAGTCTCTCCCGTGACCATGAATTACTGTAAAGCATTCGAAACGTCTGGAACCAAAAATCAAAATAAATCCGCGAAATAATTCGAAAAGATATTTTTATTCAAAAAAATTGATGTTAAAATTGTTTGGTGAAATATAAATATTTTAAGGTTGACTTTAACTCGATTAGTTTAAGTTATTATGCCTTTCTTCATCGATAAAGTTTCTGGGGTTGCTTTTAACGTTATGTACGTGCTATTATTATCAACAATTCTTCGTGATTTGTTCATGCATTTACGTCACTTGCCTTTTCTGTTTTCACTATAGAATGTTAGTTACCTGTAAAGTTCCTATAATATTGTAATCGTCTTAATATTTCCTGTTAAGCGTTTATTTTAAGTTATTAAATTTTAAGTTATATTAAGTGTAACTACTATGTTAAAATAATATATCAAAATGAGAAATACATATATTAATTGAGTTTCATAACTTTCTAACGGCATATAATTATTAATCTCATATTATGGTTCCTATAAGGCTTGCTCTGCATGTTTTACAATAATTAGGAGGTAGCTAAAACATGATTTTCATGTACATTTGTTTATTTATTTAGATTTTCGAGCTTAAGATTTATACCATCAATTATTTGCATAATATTATGTGAAAAAAATTGTATAAAAAATATTTATGTACCTATTCATATTTATTTTAATGTAATGGCTTCAGATTTACATTATATTATATAGTTATGTTAATTAATAATTTGTTTAAGACAAGCTTGATTTATCTGATTATGATATAGCTTTTTGAGACCATGAATGTACTAATCCGCCTGTAAATAATTGTCAATTATTTTGACATTGAACATTTACAATTATATATCTAATTATTTTTATACCCAAAGTATTACATTGTCAATCAAATAAGTATTTAATTATTTAATAGTAACAAAATCATATAACCAAATAATAATGAGAGTATAATAAAATATTATTATATTACTTATTAGATTAATTTTTGTTTTATTGTTGTAAAGAACAATGGCAAAAATGTATCTGTTCAACTTATTATGACATAAGGGCGGAGCACAATTTTTTCGTCTATCGTGTTTTTGACTAAATTAAGAAAAAAAAAACTACAAATCTTTTTAAAGATATTGGCTCAGTGAGGCAATCGTTAAAGAAATTTCACTCGGTCTCACTAACCCAATACAAATCGTGTGTTAAAGTTCGTTGGCTTACTATTACAAGGTTCTATGTTAATTTTAATGAAGTTTAGTAATTTTTACATAGAACTTCGTTATTTTGTTATCGTAAAAAACAACAACATAAACTATGTAAAATTGAATATTTTGTAGTTATAGTGCTGCTATCTAGTGGTTTGTTTTTGCAAAACTGTAAGTAATGACACATAGAACCTTGTAGCATTAATAACTAAATAAGTACTAAAATTGTAACATAGAACCTTGTAATAGTGAGCCAACGAAATGTAAAGCTTGAAGTTCCAACATACTTAGAAGTATTAGTTATATGTGTTGTTATTTCTTAATTGTAACTATTTGTTAAGTTTACAGTATATTTTATATTATATTTTATAATAATAATAATTATTATTATTGTATTTAAGTAATTATTAAGTTATGTTATTTGGATTGTTGGATTTAAAAATGGACGAATTATTAGTACATATTATTCTAACATGTTACATGATATTGATTTACTCTGATAATAATATGACAGTGCAGATAACATAATATAGAATAGTGAATGGCGTAGGTAATGTATTATAATGGCTACCGCTATCACTGCTGAATTATATAAATAATGAATTATATAGTGGTTTCATTAGATATCTAATTTGACATAATTAGTACATGTGTGAGTTTCGTGGCATTTTACTTACGTAGGTATTTAATATGATTATATTTATAACTAGCATTGCCCGCGGCTCCGCCCGCGTTCAGATGACCAAAAAGAAATGAAAGAAATTTTCTCAGAAATGAGATATTTTCCCGCGGTAAAAAGTATCCTATATGTTGACCCGGATAACCAGCTATCACCATACCAAATTTCATCAAAATCCCTCAGTGGTTTTTCCGCGATGCTGTAACAGACAGACAGACAAGAATTCTAAAAACTATAGATTCGGCCTCTGTATCGATAATAATGTCTATTTCAATAAGATTTTCCAAAAAATATTTAATGTACAGATTCGATTTAGTTACAATTTTATTATATGTATACATACATATGATTCAAACTTTATTATAACGTAACTTACAAAACTATGCGTTCACATAAAATCGACCAAAACTGATTGGATTGTCAGTCTTAAATAGGACCTTGTTAAATACAATATCGATAGGGTTTAAAATTTTATTTGTGTTTTTACTATTTTTACGCTTGTATGTATTTTTTACGATACAACAAAGACGATCTTAAAAGACCTTTTGTTTGTGGCCATATGAACTTTTATTGGAAATCCGTAACAATAACATATTCTGTAAAAGTTTTAATCAATTACGGCTTAAAAAACACAGCTCTTAGATCCGAAACATGAATAGAGAAACAAGAAGGAACAATGTAAGGCTAGAAATTGGGTATCGCTCAATTCCCAAATTCTTTGTTATTAAGCTCAAAATACTCAGAATGCAAACAACAAAGCTTTAATTTTGGACTTTGAGTATTTTATAATAGTAAATTTTACTTCGTTAGGATTTTTACTAAATGAAGAAAACAGAGAATGGAAATATATTATTTGATTGATATATTTTTATGAAAAAGTCTACGTATACTATTTATAATTCTTCGAATTAAAGGTACTTGATAGATAGATCCGATCCGCCTGGCAGGGAGACGTTGATCACATTGGCTATTTGACATATTCTGTGCTGTGCTATCGAAAGAGTACACCCTCATTTCCAGCTCTTCTTGAGACGGCGAATTAGTTTTTTGCGTTACCCATCGTAGTGGTTTTGATAATCTGAGAAAATTTAGGTCAGAATAATTTTTATGTACATGTTACATGTAGGTATATAAACGATCTGCATAATGGTAAAAACATTGAATTTATGACTTGGAATGTTTTGTGTTTTCTCCCTTCATCACCTGATAGCGGTGTTTAAGGTTAAAATTAGATTACAATTGAATTGGGGAATCCATAAATGTGTTCATATTTGCAATTAATAAAATTTATTTTACAATATATATTAAATAAACTCAAGCTAGACTGTTTTTATAGTTACTCTGAAAAATAATCCATGTCGTCGATAATATCCGGCAGTTCTCTCCCATCCACATCAGGAATGACAAAGCAAATAACGGTCAATATAATTGCCAAGCTTCCTTCGATTATCTTACGAGTAACATCATCAGCATCATGAGTCATTATTAACAGGTAGCATAAGATGGTGCCTAATTGCCCGATGGCATTACAGCATCCAAACAACGTTGCGCGTATATTTATTGCAAATAATCTTGGTGTAATGCTGAGAATTAGTCCGTGCACAATTACACCACTTCCTATTGCTAAACATGATATTAACCTACTTATAATTTGCTGAAAAGGTAGATAACAATATATAAGATTTAGAAGATTCAAAAATCTAGCGCCTGAGGGAATAAAATAGCAATAACGTAAGACGTTAAATTGCTCATTAACTTACATTAAAATTAAGCCAATCCATAAAAATAAGTGAAATACTGTAGACACCTAAGAGTAAAGTATTTGATACAAGTAAAGCTCTTAATTTTAGTTTTTTCACCAAACACCAATGTAAAAGAACGAGCATGCAGATAATGATTAATAATTTTAGCAAAATGAATCGTTCTTGCTTTGAATACACACGTATGTATAATGAGCTCCATAAGTAGTAATAGAAACCCCAAAAAGCAGCTATAGCTATCGTTAGTATTCTAATATTATGTTTGGTTAAAATTCCTATGCAATTCCAAGATTCATCTAAGCAGTGGTATGCCTAAAATAGATAAGATAAAGAGAAAATAAATAAGGCATAATAAAAATTGTATCTTTCTATATCTGTCTAATTAAAAAAATTTCAACATGTTATGAAAGTTTATCGTCAAGTTATTCGTACTGAGTATAATAATCTATCTAGTATGTTTAGGAGAAAACTGATGCACTATTATTATAGTAGTTACTTTATAAAATTACTAGCGACTCACCCTAGCTTCGCTCGGGTTCGTCCCTAGGTACGTTTTAGCGGTTAGTATGAAATACAAATCTTTGAATTTCTCGGCTTTTCTGTACTATTATATGTATGTATTATTATATGCATATAAACCTTCCTCTTGAATCACTCTATCTATTGCTGAAAACTGCATTGAAATCCGTTGAGTAGTTTAAAAGATGTTAGCGAACAGACAGCTGAATCGACTTTATTTTATACTATGTACAGAATAATTAACTATTAGACATATAATATCAAAAAAAAACTACGTAATAGGTACATATGCAGGAAATGTACTTTAAACTCAGATACACTGATAATGTTAATGATCCCTATTGTTGTTTTAAAGAGAACAAAGGTTAGGGACCCTAACACAACTTATCGCCATTATTTATAGGCAAGTATATTATAACTTACACGTATTATATTACGAGAGACGTACTCTGTGATTGGCTGGTCGTATCTTAAAGTTGCTGCAAACATAAATATTATTCATTTTCACTGCTTTTAGTAAAACTTTTTCTGCTTGAGCAATTTTTCTATTATAAAGAAGCCATTGCGGAGATTCTGGAGTCCACCTACAAATATATGTTTGTTAGGATTATATTATATAAAATATTAGATTATACGCGACAAAAAAAATCTTAGGGGGTGTCCATTAATCACGTGATCTTTTTTTAGCATTTTTTAACCCCCCCTCCCCCATTGGTGATACGTAGTGAGGTTTAAGACCACCCCCCCTCCCCCTTCTCAACATCACGTGTATTTTTAGTACCTACAACGAATCTTAAAATTTTCTGAATATTATCTTAATTTAAATACCTGTATTTATTGTACTGTATTAAACTATAATCTTATTTTATTCTGAAATTAAGGACCATAATAAAAATGTAGTGTAGACCAGGTTGCAAGTTTTTTTTTATTGCCATAACAATGATAATAAACGAAGAGTGTAATCATAGGAAAAACATGTATTGTACTAGTACATGAATATATTTAATGTATATTGTCCTCGAACCACGGATTAGCAAGACATTCTTCAACACTAACAACTGGATAAGCGTCATGCAGGTGTTTGACGAAAAAATAAATACACGAGATATCTTACTACACACCCCCCCCCCTTGTGTTATTTTCGTGATTTTTATCAAACCCCTCCCCCCCCTTTCAAGCCTCACGTGATTAATGGACAACCCCTTATTTGAGGGCTCCCAATACAACTTTTAGCAATATAGGCATTAGGTAGTAACTCTTTAATAATGTTAATTAATAAAATACTAACTTATAATGTTTCACGAGGATCATAATAATTTGATGTGTATAATGTTTAAGGAAAAAACCACGTCGATCAAAAATAGAAAATAATTTTGGTACATTTTCTTCGTATCAATTAATAAAATATATAAAAAAGAGAAATGAAATTCAATTCACTTTAAAAAGTTGTACATTTGGAGTTTTTTTTCGGCTTTATAAAGAAAATGCATTTTGCACCCTTTAAAATGTTTTATCATTTTAAATAAAACTATCTCTTCGGATTTTCTCGCGGATTTATTTTGATTTTTGGTTCCCGACGTTTCCCGTGACCATGATAGATGTAAAGAGTAAAGCATTCCAAGCGCAAAAAAATCCGAACGTTTATTATTTTCGTGTACATACATATTCCTAAAACGTGCACGCCTAAGCTATTGAAAGGAAAGGAGTGTGAAAATAGAAAGTACTTAATTGCTGAAATAAATATGTACACATTGCATTATAATAATATAGATAGGTAAGTAAATAGTAATTAATTATATTTATCAAGTTGAATTTAATTGGTTACATATTATATACTTCGAAGTCAAGTTTTGATCTTAGATCATATTAGTCTAAATGAAAGTGTACACTTTTCGAAAAATCAATGACTATATGGCGCTTCTCAGTACTGAAATATCAGTAACATAGTTGTAGAAGCAGTCGTAAACTTTGTTAGAGACCATGGAAGCTTTAAAATTATATCTATTAAGCGCCATTTACATGGAGAGAGTTTCTTGCCTCGAAGATACGATTATCGATAGCAAGTAATATATATCTATCATATATTATGATCGTGTAAACTATAATAAATACATCGTGTGTTCGTACGTAGAAGGGGAATATCTCTTTGTCATTGAATACCGGTTGTTCTGTGTAAATAAAAATTGAAAGCAAGAATTGTATATCGAGTTCATTTTCTAGATAATGACTTCTCATATTTTTTTATTGTTATTTCCTTGGGGCCAAATTCCTCAACTCCCAGTTCTTCAGATTTTTATAATTTTTATGCTCATTACTCCACAAACACTCGTAACTTCTATAAAGTTCAATGAAGTTAAAATTGTCAGCAAATCCAAATTTGTATGATTTTTGTGTCATTTTGAAGACAATACCGTTATAATCACCGAGCTCCATTGGCAAATCTCGCATTCAAATCCGATTCGACTTGTACGAAACTCGCATGAACTTGAAAAAATGTCATACGATACTAAGTTTAGACAAGTCGAGAAATTTTAGTTAAATAACTCATTGCGGTTTGTGTCGTAGTGTAAACAAAACGATTGGCAATAATTACATAATAAAATGCATTACATGTGAATGCGATTATCGCCTACGATAATAGCATACGACTTCTCTCCCCAAAATGTGCGATAAACTCTCTCCATGCAAATGGTGCTTAATATGTAATGACGTTAGAAAACTCGTCTGTACTTTAGAAGTAGATTATTAAATAAAAATGATGTGAATTAAAAAAGATATTCATATTTTTTTAAGTCACATTCAATTTATTAGGTAGGTATATGTTTTGTTAAAAACATAATATCTTTATCGATACTTTTTTTAATTTTTTCATAAAGTTCAGATGTAGGTACCTACGTTACTAAGACGTAGTTAATAAAAATTGAAATGTTTCCTACGTCTCAACAACAAGCATGGAACATTAAGCATGTACATATTAAAATACTGGTATCGTATATTTTTAAATGTCAAAGTAATTTTCTTTGTTCATATACAATACTAGCGGGCCATATCGGCATTGTCGCTTTTTTAATTTTTCGCCAGTTTCCAATTTGTAGTGAATTTTTATTTCAGTACGGAAACACATGCATATTTTCTCGTTATACATTTATACGGTTGAAGCCGCGGGCAAAGGCTAGTTTGAAATATATACCTACATACATATAAGTAGGTATATCAAATTAGAACTTGATCATTATTGTGAACTACTCGTTAACACTAATGAGCTTCAACGCGATACATCTGACCTAAATTTTTTTTTAAATTGGCTGATCTGTAAACTTTCTTGTTTACAGCATTAGGTCAAGGTTGTATTATTGTAGGACCATTTGTTAATAAACCTGTACTAAAATTCAAGTCCGTGGACATGGGTGTCAAATTAAAGAAGCTGATTTTCTATAATCATTTTTCTGCTTTGCTTTTTTTTTCGCTGGCCAGATTCAAGACTTTTGTTTGTCAGCCAATCATGCTTATGGAATTTAGAATTGAAGTACTTCCAAACACAACGCACCCATTGTGTTGTGCAAGATCTAGTTCCTGCTGCAGACCCAGGCCTGCAGCATGGCTGTAGCATCGAGTCTACGTTATCACATTATTGCAGTATCCAATATTGAAATGTAATTTAAGTCGATTTTAAGAATGATAGGGTGACAAGTTTTTCCATTTTACGGTTGAGATTCACTCTATTTAATATTTTAATGTTTGACAAAATATTGCGCTGTTACATTTCCTTGTATAAGGTACATATTCTTCATTATGTTGATTGTTGATACCATGACATCCGATTTATATATAAATATATAAATATATATATATATATATATATATATATATATAAAATTAAAATAGGACGCCCCTATATTGATATTGTGGATAGACTTTTCATTTACATTTAGAACTATATAAATATATCTCTATATCTATACTCTACATAAGGACATAAACGTGACAATTATTTTAATATGATGTGACCTTTACAATTTGGCCATATCATTCATTCATCAAACTGTCATTAAATTTCGATTAATTTTATATGTTAACGATAAGAATCTCTATACCTATTATTCTTAATATCTAATATACGATTAATTTAGTTTTTATTCAAATCAGAAGCGACATTTTTTTATATATTTACGCACATACTAATTGTAGTCGATACTATTGTTAACAAAAACTTTATTGATCTGTTTGATAGAATATTGGGGATGCATCCACGCGACGACTATATACTCACATGACTCATACGACAACTACAATGGACGGCGCGTTGTATAGTCTAGTCGTGTGTATTGCTCGAAAGTACAAGCTGTCAAACCGTATTGACGATGCGTGGTGAGTGGTGACTGCGATACATACGTATAAATAAACATTATATCCAATATCAAGATAGGTATAGGTGGATGTGGTGGACTAAAAGAGGTAAATGTAGGTACTCTCTAAAAACTCTGATTGGTATATACTTAGTTCTTACTATATAGAAATATATCATGGCCTACCATGGCCGTACGGCCGTGGTTAGAAAGTGTGCCTTTTTCTCGCCAGTTCACTAATCCTTCTTATCATGATATTGAGGGTGGAAATAATTACCAATTAGGATTTGTTGATGTTAATTCAACACGAAATTACGTAACAATATAAAGTATGTATGTAAGTTTATTATTTAATAATAAAAATGAATTGTGAAGAGTAATAATAATTGAATTATCTTTATATATATAATTCTTCTGTGAGTGTGTATGTCACTGAACTTCTCTCAAACGACTGGACCGATTTTGATGAATTTTTTTGTGTGTGTTCAAGGGGATCTGGGAATGGTTTAGATTCACAATTTGAATAATAATTTTCATCAAAAAAAATATTAAAAAAAGTTTGAAATTTTCAAATTAAAGACGTGTAGACAGGACAACGTCTGTCGGGTCCGCCAGTAATATTATAAGCTTAGAACTGACCTTAGAGCGATGAGTAGTAAGGCATCGAAAACGCAAGCAAAGAAATTAAACGTTTCAAGATTCGGTGTTATATTTGCTACGGGAACTAAGCATACTGTAGCAAGTACACGTGGCGTCGATACAATGATCATAAGTGTTGTCCTCCAAGTACAGCTGGCGATTTCACATACTATACAAAATACCGCTATCATATGATAATGTCGAATATAAGATTATTAATATTAGTTAGGTTTTCATTACTCTGAAAGAACTCTTGTTAATCTTCTATGCATACCTATAGTACTATAATAAAATTTTATTTAAGTAAAATCTGTACAATAAATATTCTTTGGAAATTCTTATTGAAATAGTCACTATTATCAATACACACGCCGAATCTATAGTTTTTAGAATTCTTATCTGTCTTTCAGTCTGTCCGTATCACGAGAAAACCATGGACAGATTTTGATGAAATTTGGTATGATGATAGCTGGATATCATCAAATCAAATAAAAAATCTGATGT